AGCCAACTCAATCATCCAAAGAGCAGGCTCCATTTTTCTAGAGCCTGCTTTTGTCCAGTTTTTGCATTTCTATAAGGTTTTGGGCGTGTTTGGGCTATACAGTGTTTTCAGAAGCTGTTTAAAGGCTATTGTAAGGTGTAATTAAATGTTAGGGACTTATGTTAAATTTGAAAACACTTATTACAGTAGTGGATTAAGGAAATGAGTAAGGAACAGCTCAAAGAAATGTCTAAACGTTGCACTGTTTGGCTAAGGAAATTAATTGCCAAAACTTAGCAAATTGTTGGTATATGAACTAATTATATTTAATCCTATTTTCCACCATGTAATGGACGTAGTGAATTATCTGTAAATTCAACTATGATTGGTTTGGAATGAATTTGGTACTTAAGGGCTGTTAAAAGGTATCAGCTTATGCACTGTATATAGAATTTAAATACTATGAAATATTTTAGTTATTTAAATTGTTGGAGTATGATAATTAGGTTCTGAAGTGAATACCTAATGTTGATATGTATGTATGAATTCATATGGGTGCATAGTTTGGAGGATGGCAGTTGATTATATAATGTTGTTTTAGTAATCGTGCTATGTTGGAGGATTTGCTAGTTTTAGATATTGGAGCTTAACAAGGTTGTTAAACATGATTTGAATATATATAATAAATCATATGACCATAGTGTTGTAAGTATAGTGAATTAACTACAATTATCTATGCTTAGCTTGGGTGAACTTGATACTTAAAATATTTATTCATTGTATCAATTCGTGAACTATAATGGAGTATGTGAATGCTTGACTTTAGTGTAGCACTTTACATTACTAGAATTAGATTTTAGGCCCGTAATGAATGCCTATTATTTATGTATATGCATTAAATTTATCTTGTGCATATTCTGGAATGTGGTTGATGACTACTAATATTGTATGGTCAACTGTGTTAACTGGAGGATTGTATGTACCGGTATGGGACGGTGACATACTAGGTATGGATTAATTCAAACACTAAATCCTACCTAAATTGGAATGAGTTGGATTAACCATAAAAAGGTTAAGTCCTACTTATATGGATGTATATATATGAACTGGTATGGGACGGTGTCATATTGGGGATGGCTTAGCTCAAAATACTAAGACCTTTCTAAATTGGACTAAGGTATGGATTAACCATAGAGGTTAAGTCCAGCACCTACATGTGTCATATCAATTATGAATTGAAAGACTTACTATGGTTTCAGGATGGATTTATTATACAGATATCAGACCACTACACAGATGGATGATATTCTGTATTAGGAGGAGTACGGACTTTATATATTTATTATATGTGCCATGATATGAGCCTAAGTCTCAGGACCATGGTTAGGGCGCGTATATCGCCTAGGATGGATAACTGGACATAAGTGTTGTTCCCTGGTAGGTCTAGGTACTCATGCCCACCTTGGGGTACGTATTCGCATGTTGCCTTCTATTCAGGCTGAGACAGACCTACTGGACTAGCGAGCGTCCTATAGTGTGTACTATATATACATATATGGACTACTCTAGATATTGTTTAGTCTTTCTAGGATGTATCTGCGTATCGGATTACTGTTTAGATCGTAGTAGATCAGGACTTGCATGTGGGCCTGACCCACTCTATTATTTTTCAGGTGTTCGACAGTACCAGGCTTAGAGCTTGATCGGGTTGATGCAGATACAGACACTCACTCTTCCGGTTACATAGGATTTCCTTTTTATTTTAATTTTGGATTTTAATTCTATAAATTTATTCAAGGATTTGGGATTAGGGGTCCACTAGGTAGATTCCCGAGTTGTACGGTTTTAAATTATATAAATTTATTATTTCAAGTCTGAGGATTCTTATTTTAGATTTCTTTCAGCGTATTATTAATTTATTCTTAATTCAGTTTTTATTTCTGCTTGATTACATATTAATTATTTGGTATCTCTCGGATCTGTGCTCGGACTTGATCACCCGTGGCTCTAGAATCGAGGGGTATCGCAAGTGGTATCTGAAATAGTGGCAGAAGAGAATACTGAAACTGGAGAAGAAGTTGTTGCAGGGGCATCAACGGCCCTAGGGGCAGGCTTCCTCCTGCCAAAGGAAGGGATCTGGAGCTGACTCATTGTCTTGCCGAGGGCTGAAAGAGCAAGAAGGTTATCTGAAGTAAGGAGATCCGAGCAGGAGGGAATGTTGGTCAGAACGTACTGCTTCAAGTAGTTATCCCTATCCCTGCACACACCGTAGCTCAAATCATCACAAGGAATGCCTAAGGAACGGCATAAGAAAGTACAAAAGCGAGGAACGAAAATCTTGCAAGGACAGTCACTCTTATGGGTTTTGTTTTTTTTTATAGGAAGAGACAGAGCACTCTCCAAAAGTGCTCGGGATAGGGAAATCCTCTGCGGCTGGAGAAAACCAGGCTCCCCTAACCCCAATTATATTTTTCCTCCAACCCTTCTCAGACTTGATTTTATCTTTGCAGATGGACCTCTTCTTAATTGGATAGAAGTGGTAAAACGGTTCATCAGTTCTGATCTTGCTAACCTTATTACAGAGGAGAAGATCTACGAGGTCCAGATCTAGACCTCTGTCACGGTTCAGAAGCAACATAACAGATAAGACCCTAAAGAAATTTGGGTTCACTTGCAAATGTGAAAGTTTCAGTTTATTAAAAACATAGTTAAAGAAGGGGTGAAGAAGGAACCTAATGAGGTTAAGATGAAGGTGGGAAAATAAAACCTCGCCGGAAAGAAGGCCGGCACCAGTTCTAATATTCACCTCCTTAGGGCAATTTCTAATTTCTATATCGTTAGGGAGATGAAGTCTCATGCGAAAAACATCTAGATCTATAGTCATGGTGAGAATGAATGAGGATTTTAAGGGGAAAAAAGAGGTCTTCCGAAAAAAAAAGGCTAACAAAACTAACCTCAGAGAATATCGCAAGGAAACTAAATATGAAGAATCTTTCGCAAGATTTGCCGGAGAAGATGAAATTTGACCGGGAAAGATGACGTTCGCCTTGGAAAGGTAGATTGAATTGGTTGACAGCAAGATGTAAGAGATGCGACAAGAAAGCTTTGCTCATGGAAGAAGGGTATTTAAAGGGAAAGTAGTCCCATTTGCTGAGACATCAAGAAGCTGAAGGGATTCGAATTTCGAAAAGGGCATTAATTCCGAGGCCGACCGCTCGGTGCCCCACACATTCGTCTTGAGCCGTCGAATCATCATAAGCCGTCAGGTCATCATTGAGCTTTTAAATAATCACACCCTAATCAATGAGGGAGTGATTATGGGGGCAATTGAGGACGCTAAAGACGGCTTGGGCCAGATCTAATTCATATAACGAAGTATGGGCCTGACAATTGACAAGGGCCCAATCTTGATGTCCACAAAGCAAACCGAGTGTACTGGACTGATTCAAAAGAAAGGCCTTCCAGGAGGATTCAGGCCCATAACTACTGAACCTTGAGGATAGGCCCAACAGCGGAAATTAATGAAGAAGGCTCTAGAGTAATGTAAATGATCTATAAATAGAAAGGAGAAAGGAGAAATGGGGGGAGAAAAATTTTGAAGTGTAATGAAATTCTGCCAACTTAGAGAGAGAAAATTCGTGCATCTTCATATACACACTGAGAACGAAGAGTAAAGCAAAATGAGAGAAAATAATTACCAGAAATTCCACAAACCCAAATCTTTAAAGATTCAATTTGATCGTAATTTAAACAAATTTTGCAAATTGGGCCGTCAAATTGGTGCTCGATTGCGCTGGCGGTAGAGATTCACGGTCTCACCATGTCTCCGATGATAATTGCAGTTTCACAACGTTCCACAAAGAGAATGTGGAAAGAGGATGGACATTATCTCTTTATTTGGATAAAGAGAGAAAAAAGATCTTCCAATTTTTGTTAACAACTGTGTTGATATATTTAGGTTTTAAAGTAACCCATACAATACATGTGGAAGTTGTAGTATATCAATTTTTTTTTAAGTCGGGCGAAATAGCAGTACTCATAATTTTTTAGTCCATTTTTTAACAAGAAAGCCAGTTGGCTGGGTGACAGCAATAGTTGTAATAACAGCCCCATGACCTAATTGGCATCACTCTTCTAATTGGCCTCATTACTCAAAAAATTGCCGATTCGAATGTGAATTTGTACACAACTCGGTAGATCGGCATGTAATAAAATCGAATTCTTTAAAATCGGTCCGAACCGGCCTATAACCGTGAGTTTAACACTTCTTATTATTAAATCTGCTTTTATCAAATAATCAACCAAAGCTAACAAGGACCAACGCCATATCAAAATGATAAGATATGTTGTGTCGGCTAGACATACTAATAACATGGTATGCTCAATTCATCCGGTATCTACTAATAACGTAGTATTAACGTTGCATATCGACTACATATACTAATAAAGTGGTAGGTCTGGTTCACTCTATCTTTACTAATCACGTCACATTACTATGTCGCACACGTGCTCCTTGCTCAATCTCAGAACACTTGTTACTAATCACGTAACATTACTACGTTGCACATGTGGTCTTGCTCAATCTCAAAACACTTGTCGTTACAGCACTGCTTTTATCATAATCAAAGTGATTCTACAGAAGTTGCACCATCTGCTCCCATGTCAAAATGATAAGGCACACATGATTGTTAAAACCTTGATCGTGGATATGTTGTAGGAACAATGGCTCTTCTTAGTGAAGGTCAAATAATTTGTTCATTTACCATTTTTAGACTATCTTAGAATTTTTTAACCTCAATCATCTACTTTAGATGCGTTGTCAGCCCAACCTTCTACTGTTTAATAACAGCTATTCTTCTTATTGTGTGGTACAACAAGAAAACGTACGTACGTACAAATTTTAAGGACCATACTCAGATCATATACTGCTCCAAACTCCATAAATAAAAAATGATATTGATTTGTTAAAATTGCAGTTAGCTACTATTATGCATGATTAATAAGATCTGAAAAGCTTGAGATAATCACAAACACGTAGTAGTATATCATAAATTCATTAATACAATTTACTAACCAAATAAAATTCATAAGACAAATTGGAAGCAAAATGATGTTTAGAAAGATGTATAATATTTCTTTCTAAACCAATAATAAGCTCTCAAAATTATGATACAGGAAGCCGCAACAAGAGTACAACATATTATGAAGGATTGAGTCCACGAAGGGGAAAATTTGAAATCATGGTTCATGATCTCTGTTATCTAAGATGATTCTTTCTCATACATTCTCAATTCAAAACACCACCAAGTTCGGATGGTCTTTCCGAAACATAGGATGGAATTTCCGACAAGCCCTGTTGTTCTGGTGGTGATGGAGCGTGAGGATAACAAGCTTTCTTCATCTCGTTGTACCTCCCAATATCAAAATTGTGAATCTTCATAAGCCGTTTCTGTTTCGTCTTAAACCGGCTGTTGAAAAACCCTTCGAAAGAAGGCTCTGTGGATGTCCTCAAGAAGAATGTGTAGCCCGCCATGAAGTACACGGAGGTGACATAGAAGCAAATGGGCTCCATGACATCCCATGACAGTTCCCAAAATGTCAGCCTCATGAAGGCTGCCGTCTGAATAACAAGGTAGCCCAACCCGCACCAGAGTTCCCGGCGAACCAGGGATTCTGCCTTTCTGTCAATGGCGGACTTCTGCTTCTCCATTTCTTCGAGTTCCGTCATCATCCTTGGGTCACTCGGGTGGGCTACCGGTGCAGGCATTAGGCCTTGGATGGCTCTCATTACCTGTAATCACAAAGTGTAAAAACATTTGGGTAAAACATGGCTCTACTTCACGTATTGCTACATGAAGATTGGTCTTATGTGGCTTATTAGACACACGTACAAACTTGTAGATAGCAATGACCATGATCAACAGACTCAATCCAATTACACCTGCAAAACCTCTTCTTTTACAAACATCCTCAGCCTAATCAGACTCGATCCAATTACACATACAAAACCTTTTCTTTCACAAACAAAAAGATGATTTGCTCAATCCTCAGGCTATGCAGCCCTAACCACGATAATTGTCCCTAAACAAATTCAGGGCATATTGTCTCTTCCACTTGTTTCTAACTATGTCATATGACAAATGGACTAAAATTAGACCTACGTCGTTGACGGTGACTAAAAAGAACAACCTCAACCCATTAAAAAATGAATTTGGTTTAGTAAAAATGCTAGTACACAAATGGTTAGTGAATTTACAAGCAATCAGAATGACTCAAAAGGACGCCCATGCGTAGAAATGAACCTAGAATTAGTCATTATTACCCAGGGATGTATGATGTACCTAACCTTCCAAGTTCACGTTCCTCATTGTGATTTTCTTGTCAAAAATAAAAACTGCTCAATTAGTTGATGTGTGTGTGTGTGTGTGTCTGTATTGTTCACTTTTTTGGGCATTTTCTGTTGTGCATAAAAAAGTGGGTCGGAAAGGGGAATTTCGTGTCACCGGTGGCTATTATGGATAGAAAGTGGGTGGTTAAGCGACGGGCTCTTTTGGTGTCACCCTTTTTCTTCTCTTTCCATTCTCTCTCTCTTTTTCCAAAATTAAAAGGGGTCACCACCATAAAAAGAAAAATTAAAAGTGGTCTCTCACTTCTCTCCATTTTTTTTTTTTTTTTTTTTGTTTCACTTTTTTTTTTTTTTTTTTGGAGGGGGTTTGGAAAATCCACCCTCTGCAGAATGTTGCAGTTTGATATTTTTTTTTTTTTTTTTTTTTTTTTTGCAATTCTCATTAATTGTGAAAATAAAAGAAGGGATGGTTTTGATCTTTTAAAAGAGTAAGCCACCCTATAAGTCACCATCTCAAAAGTGGAACCTTTAGACGTTTGGTTTCAATTTCCTGTGGAAAGACATGAAAAAAGAACACATAATAAAAATTATCAGTTTTCGGTAGTCTGGATATATTAACAAATGAACTTGAAAATTGAAATCAAACCCTTTCAAGCTAAACGACAGTGTTTATAGATATTGTATACTCCTACAATATATATATATATATAGACACATATATATAACTTTGATTTTTGAGATGATGAAAAGATAAAAGAGGGGCAAACCTGGTCAGGCCTGAGGAACACAACATTTCCCAACACTAAGACGGTCCCTGACTCATCGAGCATCTTCGCAAACTCTAGGCCCTGATCCGTATTCGAACAACCTTCTTCACAGATCTGAAGGAACTCTGGATACGATACACAGCTCTTCGGTGTTGATCTCAGTTTCGACTTCACCATCTCCAACTGCGACACTCTCAGCAGCTTCCTCGCGTCCTCCACCGTCAATTTCCCCTCCGACCTCGTCTCCGGCGGACTCAGCCCCTCCAATCGAATTCGACCTCTTGCAATGTCTATAGACCGTAACTGCTCCAACAGTTTCTCCCCTATTGGCAGCGACCTCAGCTCCGGAGCCTTCGCCGCCGACTGATATATCGGCCGCCGTTGAAGGAACCACCGGAAAACCCCATTGTCTCCGGGATCCGGCTCCACCTTGGCCCGATTCGGGGGATTCAGAGCTTGTGCGGCCGTTGAAATTCGACAGTTTGCTAGGGCTGGATTTGAAATTTTGGAAATGTTGAAGAATCGCTGAATTAGGGTTCTCTTAGACGCCATTGATGAATAGCTGAAGCGAGAGAGAAGGGGGAGAGATTGTTAGCTGAGCTTGATGAACAAAGTGGATCCCAATTTATAGGTCAGAATTGGAGATAGAAAATTAATTATTTAAATTTTTCAAAAATAATAATAATAATAATAAAATGACGCGATATATTAGAACTGTATACGACTCGCGCGAGAAATTATCCAGAACTGTTCTGTTTGCCCTACCTTAGCGAATATTCGGGGGTATAAGTATATTCGCCGAGAAACATCTCGTATCGTGATAATAAAAAACTCCCCTCACGAGTTCAAAAATCACGGGACTATGTTAATCACCGTACACGTGGTTGGCTAAGGCTGTGTGAACAGGCATCGTCCGATTAATTCAAAAGTTTGATGAGGTAGTTACTAGTCAGCAGAGAGTAGATAAATGATGACGTGGAGTGGTACAGCTGTGATTAGATATAAGTTAATGACGGTTTAAGATGGTCAAAGTGATTAGAATAAGGTTGGTTATATGGGATTACTGTCGCGTGTCCCACCCAGAGAATTGGTAGGTGTGCAAGGTAAGTTGCAAGAAAGTCGGACAACGCTGGATGGTATTGGAAGGTTACGGAGACGTGTCGCCACATATTTCCCCGAATTTTGCTGTCGCTCGGAAAGCTCGTGTTCGCGGAAACTCGTGAGGGTTTTTTTATATTTGGTATGTAAAAGAGATAGAATAGGCAGGCGTGTACGTTGAAGATGTAGACGTAGATGGATATGACCTCCACCAAGTCCAACTTTAATGCCAGTCTGGCAAAAACCCCCCAAAAGTAAAAGTAGTGATAACTAGCCTACCAACCCACTATTCATGGGATTTGTTGGGTTGAGGTTACCCTTCTTGGGTTCAAAGGTTTGTAACATCCCCCACCTTAAGTCCTATTCCTCTTTTGTACGTACACCCCTTATTACAAATACAAATAAATCTTGTATTTTATTTTATACAACTATCAAGTTCTATTGCTCCCTAATAAATAAATCTATATTAGTCATTGATTGAATTTGATGGTCCTCTCAAATAAAAAGTGTGACTTCTTTATAAATAAGAAATAATAATATAAAAAAAAAAAAAATCACTATTATACTTGATAGTTTTATAAAATAAAAAGTGTGAATTCTTTATAAATAAATAATAATAATCAACTATTTTATTAAATTTCTTAGTAGTGAATTTTATAATCATAAATGATAGTGAGTTTTACCATTATAAATGATACTAAAATTTTGTATACATAAATTTAATAATCATAAAGTGCCCCAATTTATTTTTATTATTTTATTGTGGATAAATTTTATTTACCATCTTTGAGGTTTGTCAATATTTTATATAAACCCCTCTATATTTTAAAATCTCACTTACCTCCCATACTTTTTTACCATTTTACCTATAAAATGTTTGCTATCATTTCATGTATCAGAAACACAAAATGTCAATATATCACTTCTTCTCTCTCTGTTTGAATCGCAGCCATTTGTGCTTTTAAAAAATGAAAATGTAATTCAAAATCAAAAGAGAACTTGTTGTAGGGAGCAAAGCAGTGTGAGGGAAGGGTATTCTAACTCAGAAGATGGAATTTGTACAAGAGGTAAGTGAAACTATAAATCATAGAGGGATCTATGCGAGATATTGACAATTTTTAAAGGAAATAAGTGAAATTTACCTTTTTTATTTTTAACATTACACTCATTTTTTTTTTATGAAAAGATGACTTGAATTCTCAATCTTCTACTTTGAAAAGTTAGAAAAACAAGAAACTACAATTGGGTTACAACCTTTGGTGACATAAAAGTACCCCAATTAAACCCCTAAACAAATGGACAGAAAACTTTAATGAAAAATTCAAATGAGTCCGACTTTTCTAACTCGTTAACCCAACATAATTTTTCAAAATTTAAAAAAGACACATCTTTTCTACTCCCCGACATCACACAATTTTAAAAAATCATATTTGAACAAGCTCTCTAGCTCTGCCTCTAATTGCAAGATATCAATATTGGAGAGGATTTTGATCCAATAACATTCATAAAAAATATATATAAATTAATGTATAATATATTTGCATATACATAAATATAAGAAATGAAAGAGGGCTGACACCACCAAAGTGAGGAAAAAAATTTATTTATAAGTAAAAAGGGGAATAATATTTGTACTTTTTTCAATTTTTATTTATTTTTTTTAAAGAAAAGAAAAAGGACTTAATTACCTTCAAAGAGTATTTACACACTCCACAATTATTTCAAACCGTTCTACTACATTTCACTTTTAAGTGATAATTTTGTCATTTCAATTATTAAATAATTCAAATGGAGTTTAAGTGAAGAAGACTAGAACTTGAATATAATTTCCAAAACAAGAATATTTGCCTCTCATGCAAAATCTTATTAAACTGCATTTACACCCAATTAAATAAAAAAATTCATGCAAGCACTAAATGAAAAAATAATAATACTAATAATAATAAAATAAAATAAAAATTCACTGAAAATAAATTGAAGTATAAAAAAAAATGAGCAATACTTAGGTCCTCACGGATCTACACCATCCTAATGAGGACCTACACCATCCTAATTAGTGATGTGCACTGATAATAAATTACCATATTTGTGATTTGGTAAGTGGATATTTACCCACCATATTAAATTTAGTAATTAAAGATGGTATGTTTATTTATTATTGGTCCACATTACTAGTGAGAATGACATAAATCCTCACTAATGAGGACCTAAGTATCGTTCAAAAAAAAAATTCCAATGAATTTAAAACAAATTTATAGTCCAATTACTAAAGAATATAACTGTGCAGAAAAATATCAGCTAAGTTCACCATCAGTTCAGTCATTGTTTTTGTTTGTCAAATGTGAAAATAAGTTGCATAAAAATCATTACACTTATTTCTTGTCAAGGTTATTGACATTGCAAGAAGCCCATTGAAGTTGATAAGAACGGTTGAGTAGAAGAATTGATTTGTGTTGTGAGAAACGCATAAACGCAAAAATGCACCTTTTTCTTTTCAAAATAATTTTGAGGATTAGATGCCACTATTGGTTTTTGTGAGTGACACTTTCTTAGATGTTCCAGATTGTCAACTTGCTTCCATTATTGAAATCTAACGTCTCTAATGTTCTCTTCGCATCAAATTTTAAAAATAATAAATTAAAAAAATCAGAAAAAAAAGTAAAAAAAAAAACAAAAAAAAAAAAAAAATCCAGTCATCATCATTGGTTAGATCAATAATAGAAAAGCATCTCTAATTACACTTCTTGTCTATTTTTTTTTTTTTTTTTTAAAAAAAAAAAAAAAAAAAAAAAACTAAAGATCTAAGTTTTTTCTTTTTTTAACTTGTGTGACAAGTTGAAGAATGTTTTACTGTAAGATTTAAAATTTTTAGCTAATATTAACATTCAACTCATATATATTCGACCATATTTATCATCGTAGATGAATAATAGTTAGAGAATTAGAAATTAATAGAAAGAAAATAATAAATTAGGGTTATAGGGTGCGAGCCGTTCAGACCCGACTCCTTTAACACTCGAGTAATATCACCACAACTTAAGATAAATATGATTTTACAATGTGCTTTTTCTTTTTTCTTTTTCAACTTGCACGTTAATAACTAAATAATAATTATTATTATTATTATAATAGAAGAAATTGATAAAACTCATAGCGTTGACATAAATTTTAATTGATTTTTTAATATTTGACAATACTATAATACTTTGGATTTATTTTGAACCATTGCAAGAGCATAAAACCACAGTTTCATTGTTTATAACTCTCTTCCCAAATGGGATTTGTGAATGAATTTGAATTAATAAGAAAACGATCAAAATTTATCCCTCCAGATGCCATACTCAACATGTTCTACTGTCAAGTTGTTGCAACTATAAAAATTTCTATCTAAGTTGTTGTTTATATATAAGTTGTTGCACCTTATATATAAGATTTGATAGATTTCTATCTCTTCGTTTTAGAACATTATATAGATGTCCCAAGTATTTCCCCTTTAAAAAAATTACTATCCTAGAATATTCTTTATTCTTTACTAATATTTATAAATTATCTATAATATTTTAAAATAGTTTTCCTACGCAAATGTGAAAGACCGAAAAAAAAAAAAAGGTTTCAAGAGATACCACGTAGATTGGTTGTCCTTTTCCAATAAACTTAGCATAGGCAAGGTTTGGAGTGGGACACAAACATAAATTTTTTAAGTTTCTAGGACAAAATATGGATTTGTTGAAATTTTAAAAATAAAAAAATTATATATCTTTCTAAATAAATAAGTTTAATTTTTAATTTAATCAAAAAGTATTTATCTATTTGTAAAACAAAATAATTACACCAACCCAGATGTAATAAATTATATCAAACAAAATAACAATTTTTATTTTTGATAATTATCATTTCAAAATTATATTCTCTTTGTTAACCTAATTTCAGTTTTTAGAGATAAAAGCATTAACGACAAGCATTACACGAAAGACAAAAAATAAATAAATAAATAAAGGACAACTTTACTAAAAATTCAATTATAAAAATTTACAACGATTTTAGTTTTATTTTTTAGAATTATGTAAAGAATTAATGGACTCTGAAGTTTGACACAAGATGACTACTACTGCTAGCAAATAGTCCGTGGTTGGATCACGTGAACCTCACCTAAGTTCACCATCGGTATTGAAAAAACGTACTAGAGTCATTGTTTTTGTTTTTCAAATGTGAAAATTGAGAGGAATTGGGAATTTGGGATGAGAAACACGCAAATGTGCACCTTTTTCTTTTCCTAATAATTTTAAGAGAATTAGATGCCACTGTTGGTTTTTGTGTGAGACACTTTCTTAGATGTTCAATTATTGTCAACTTGGCACTTCCAACCAAAATAGAAAAATTCCAAGGAAAAAGGAAAAAATGGTCCATTCATCATAAAATGAGTAGCTTAATATAATTCAATGTCTTTTCCAAGGGGGGGAAAAAAAATGTAGAATAGAATGAGTAGCTTAGCTTTGTGATTTTGGTTATTAATTCT